GGAGGTCGCTAGAGCCCGGAGTCTTTGAGGCTACCGGTGAAGCGAGGCTGACGCACGGCCACTCGACTCTCGGCCGGGCAGAGCGAGACATCGGGCTCAAAGTTAAAAACACAACCACGCACATGCCCTGTTCCTCTCCGGAAGTTCCGAGTCACCCTGGGCGGGCGGGCGGGCGTTGAGCGACGGGTGCAGACACACGCCGGCTGGCAGCTGCAGGGCGCGCAGGACAGCAGGAACATCTGGGGGAAACGGCGGTCGACGGGGGGGGGGTGAACCGTCCGGGGCGAGGCAACGGGCTGAGGCCGGGAGAACCCGCGAGAGGCCGTGACACCGCACGGCCGTTGTGCCGCGCCAAGGACGGCTGAGTCTTGATCTGAGACGGGAGCTCCCTACTGTCAGAGCCCGGGCCGGACGAGCGCCGCGGGCGTCGGCCTCGCTCGCGGCGGCCTCCGACTCCTGGGGACTGAGCAACCTCCCGCTCGCCTCCCTCCCTCCCGTAGTGGCTGGGCACGACAGGCCGTGACCTCCACGCCCGGCTCGTTTTCTTTTCTATATATTTTTTAGGTTGTCCAGCCTCATTTCTTTCGCTATTAGTAGAGACAGGGGGGGCTTCGCTCTTGCTAAAGCTCGGCCTGCGACCTCCGGGGACCTCGTAGCGTCCTCCTTGCTCGGGCCCCTCCCAGAGTAGCTGGGACGACAGGCGTGGCCTCACGCACCGGCTCGTCTTTTTTCTTATTATATATATTTTTTTTAGGATTGGCCAATTGATTTCTTGTTTTTAGTAGAGACGGCGTCTCGCTTGCTCAAGCTGGCTCGATATCATGACCTCGACACGATCCTCCTGCTCGGCCTTCCCTCCGAGTAGCTCGGGATGACAGCATGCGCCACCTACGCCCGGCTCATTTTTTTCTCTGTATGTATTTTTACTTGTCCTTAATTTTTTTGTGCTTTTTTTTTTATTAGTAGAGACGGGCTCTCGCTCTCGCTCAGGCTGGCTCCACTCCTGACCAATCGGTCGGAGGAGGTCAGGAGTTCGACGACTAGCCTGACGCTGGAGAGCGAGACCCGCTCTCTACTAAAAAAACAATAGAAATTAGCTGGACAACTAAAAAATATATAAATATATATTTTAAAATTGTATCCTTGCACAGCTGGGAGGCCCAAGGCGGGAGGCTCGCTCTGAGGCCAGGAGTTTGGAGCCAGCCTGGGGCAAGAACGGACCCCTCTTACTAAAAGAAAATAGAAAACAATTAGCTGGACAACTAAAAAAAGTAGTATTATATATATACCCACAAACAAAATGACCGGCGTTGGGGCGGGAGGCGCGGCCTGTAGTCCCAGCTACTCGGGAGTGAGGCCGAGGCGGTGAGCTGGCTCGAGTGAGGGCCAGGAGTTCAAACCAGCCTGAGCAAGAGCGAGACCCGGTCTCTACTAAAAAAACAAATAGAAAGAAATTAAGCTGGACAAACTAAAAAAATATATATATATAAATAACTGTCAATCCTTGCAGTCTGGGAGCCGAGGCGGCGATGCTGGCTCAGTGGAGGACCAGGAGTTCAAAACCAGCCTGGCAAGAGCGCAGACCCCGTCTCTACTTTATAAAAAAAAGAATCAAAAGAATGAACTTGTCCAACTAAAAAAACATACAGAGAAAAATAAAAACCGAGTCGGCGGTGGAGGCGCACGCCTGTCGTCCCAGGCCTCCACTCTGGAGGGAGGCGAGGCGGAGGCTCGGTTGAGGCAGGAGTCGGGGCTGCTTGTGTCAAAAGATCATAAATAAAGTAAAAACGGAAGGCAGGCCCGGGGGCGCCACTCACGTGCACGCGCTCCTCGTGGTCCCGGGCCGCGCGGACGGCGAAGCGCCCCTCCAGCGTGGCCTCCAGCCCGTCCCCGGGGCGGGCGGGCAGCTCGCCGTTCAGCGGGAAGGCGGCCAGGAACCTGCGGGGACAGCGGCTGCCCTGGGTCTGAGGTCGGGGCAAAGGGGGAGGCCGGGGCGGGAGGATCGGACGGAGGCCGGGAGGTGGAGGCCGGCCTGAGCTGGAGCGAGACGCCCCCCCCCCATCTCTACTCAAAATGGAAAGAAATTAATTGAGCAACTAAAAATATATAGAGAAAAACGAGCCGGGCGTGGAGGCGCATGCCTGGAGTCCCAGCTACTCGGGAGGGAGGCCGAGGCGGGAGGATCGCTTGAGGTCAGGAGTTAGAGGCCGAGGCGGGAGGCTCGTTGCTGGAGGCCAGGACTCGGAGGCTGCCGTGAGGGAGGCTGAGGCCACGGCGCTCACCCCGGCCCGGGCGGCAGAGCGGGACTCTTGTCTCAAGAAATAAAAAATTAAAAAAAAAAATAAACGCAAAACGGGGACCGATTTTCATTCTTTCTCGGCCAAAAAGACCCCCCAGCGGGCGGTGGGGGTCACGACCCTGCTCCCCCCAACCCCCGTCCCTCCCGTCCCGGCCCGGGGAGCCTCCCCGCACAGCCTCCCTCCGAGCCCGGCACCCCCGCGGTCCCGGGAGGCCCCGCGTTCCAGAACGTTCCGGAGGCGTCCCCAGAGGGAGGCCGGCGGGGGGGAGGGAGGCCGGGCTGGAGGGAGGCCGGCGGGAGGGAGGGAGGCCGGTGGGAGGGAGGGAGGCCGGCGGGAGGGAGGGAGGCCGGGCAGGCGGGCGCGAAGCCGGGCTGGAGGGAGGCCGGCGGGAGGGAGGGAGGCCGG